AGGAGAAATACCGAGAGGTTTGGTGCAATTGCTTGTCTTGGTTTATTTTTGCTGGCAATTATTTGACTTTTTTCAAAACGTTATGATTATAGTTTTTCTTTTAAGGACGCTCCACGCCCAACGTGGGGCTTGAACTCACAACGTTGAGCTCCAGAGTCACGTGCTCTACTGAATGAGCCAGCCAGGTGCCCCAGCGATTACTTGGCTTTGAACGGATGCCCACCCTATTGCCTAATCTGCCCATGGGTTTAATATATTCTGGGTGAGACTCTCTGAAATATCTTCATTTTTGCTTGTACACACAATACTTTTGTTTAGACTGCAATAAGTTAATTAACTGTTCAAGCACTGGAGACATGCCTCGAGTCTTTCTGACAATGGCTCATAAGGCACAATGGAGCAGAGACACCACGGGGAGACCCTGCAGGCCTCACCCTGCAGTAACATCACCCTTCCTCCCTCATCCAAACACTGGGGTTGGAGTTAGAGAATGATGATTTTTATCCTGTTCTATTCCTTTAAATCTCCAACGGGTGAGCATGGTCGCACACTCTGAAGTATTGCAAATAGAGACGTCCAGGAGAAAAAAAAAATTAGGCATATATACATTCTCATGTTAACATTTATGCGTATATACACATGTACATATGTAGATGTATATACATATATATACACCTATATATACACATACAACTATAAACACACACACACACACACACACACACACACACACATATGTGTAATTTAAATAAACATATCTCACTTTAGAAAGAAACTTGGGGCACCTGGATGGCTCAGTCGGTTAAGCATCCGACTTTGGCTCAGGTCACGATCTCATGGTTCATGGGTTCGGGGCCCGCATCAGACTCCGTGCTCACAGCTTACAGCCTGCTTGAGATACTCTCTGTCTCTCTTCCTCTCTCTCTGCCCTCCCTCTGCCCACACATTCTCTCTCCAAATAAACTTAATCTTCTTTTTTTTTTTGCCAAGGTCAGCCAACAAACAAATGGCAGAGGAGGGATCTGAACCCAGGTCTGCCTGGCTGCAAAGGGGCTAAACTGACATCAGTGGGCTCCCAGGTCACAGCATGTGCTCCCATGGGTAATGCCTCCAGCCATCTGGATGAAGCTGAGGGCCGACCAGGTCTCCTCGCTCTGGCCTCTCCTCGGGGCCAAGAGCACGAGAGGGGAGATACAGCACGTCCTCCATTGCCAGACACTCCAGTCATGGAATGAAAAGGTTTTCAGGCAGAAAGAAACATCCCTGCTTATACATACACATGGATTAGAAGCTGAACCCTGACTGTGGGGACACGTAAAACATGTGTCTGCAGCCATTGTGGAAGGACAGTTAAGAACCTGGCAGCACGGTTATTTATTTCTGGAATCTTGTGAGCACAGCTGGTTCAAGGATACAAGTCAAGCTCCGAGCCCTGCGCCTGCCTCCTCTGCTGAGCCAGCTGGACATGATCCCTTAGGATGGATCAATGGCTCCCGATTCCCTATGTCTTTAAAGCCCATCCATCCTCCCCCTTCATTTGGCAACAGCCACAGGCAGGGTGAGGAAAGGGTGCAGAGTCTGTCGTCAGATGTGAGACCAACGTCACAAGGGGGATGGGTAGCCGTGAACTGAGCCCACGCGAGGGGAAGACAGTCCCTCCAGCGTCAGCAGTGACTAACTCTTGCTGGGTACACAGGCCATTCTTCCTTTCTTCTCTCGACTTCTCAGTGGTTCCAAATGCCCTCACAGAGCCCCCCGGGAATCCA